GATCTCGGCTCACTACAACCTCCACCTACCAGGTTCAAGTGATTCTCCTGCCTTAGTCTCCTTGGTACCTGGGATTACAGGCATGACCCACCACACCCAGCTAATTTTTGTATTTTCAGTAGAGATGGGTTTTCGCCATGTTGGCCAGACTGGTCTTGAACTCCTGATGTCAGGTGATCCGCGTGCCTTGGCCTCCCAAAGTGCTGGGATTACAGGCATGAGCTACCATGCCCAGTTCCTTGTTCTTAAGAAATACATGCTGTCAACCAGACACAGTCAATCACGCCTGTAATCCCAGCAATTTGGGAGACTGAGTTGGATGGATCACTTGAGACTGGGAATTCGAGACCAGCCTGGCCAACATGGCAAAACCCCATCTCTACTAAAATTACATAAACTAGCTGGGCTTCGTGGCGGGCACCCGTAATCCCAGCTACTCGGGAAGCTGAAGCAGGAGAATCACTTGAGCCTGGGAAGCAGAGGTGGCAGTGACGTGAGAATGTGTGGCTACATTCCAGCCTGAGCAACAGAGCAAGACTCTGTCTCAAAAAGAAAAAAAGTATACCTATGAAAGAAGAAGCTATAAAAAAAATTGATAGAAGTTTTTAAAGAATATTTTCTATCAGACTAAAACAGTCAAATTTTTCCTACTTCTGAATTTTATTTAAAAACTAGAAATAATTTTTAAAAATTAAAAATTTTTTTTAAAACTGGAAATAAGGCCTGGCACACTGACTCATGCCCGTAATCTCAGCACTTTGTGAGGCAGAGGCAGGCAGATTGCTTGAGCCCAAAAGTTCAAGAACCACCTGGGCAACATAGCAACACCCTGTCTCTACACAAAAAAAAAAAAAAAAAAATCAAAAATTAAAAAAAGAAAAAGAACTAAATAGGCAGCCATATCACTTGAAGTCAGGAGTTTGAGACTGGCCTGGCCAACATGGTAAAATCTCGTCTCTACTGAAAACACAAAAATTGTCCAGGTGTGGTGGTATGTCTATAATCCCAGCACTTTGGGAGGCCGAGGTCAGTGGATCATGGGGTCAGGAGTTTGAGACCAGCCCAACCAACATGGTAAAGTCCCATCTCTACTAAAAATACAAAAATTAGCTAGGCATGGTGGCGCGCACTGGTGCTAGTGTGGTGGCTAAGACAGGAAAATAACTTGTACCTGGGAGGTGGAGGTTGCAGTGAGCCAAGATCACGTCACTGCACTCTAGCCTGGGCAACAGAGTATGACTGCATCTCAAAAAAAAATAAATCAATCAATCAAAATAAAAAAGAACACAAAAATTAGTCAGGTGTGGTGGAGGGCACCTGTAGTCCCAGCTACTTGGGAGGTTGAGGAAGCAGAATCGCTTGAACCTAGAAGGTGGAGGTTGTAATGAACTAAGATTGTGCCATCGCACTCCTGCCTGGGCAACAGAGCGAGACTCCATCTCAAAAAAAAAAGCAAAAGATAACCTAAAAATGGCACCCATACTTTCATAATTTAGTATTATTTCAACTGAAACACCATAAAATATTGTAGAAAAACCTTAGTACAAATGTAAAAGAGCCACAATCAGCCATTTCCAAAAAGAGAGAAAACAAAGCAACATTACCTTCATGGACTGTAATGCCACAATTGTCACACTGAATTATTTCATCAGCATCCTCACTATTATCTCCCAGACAAACACAGCAAATCAGAATATGGTCCATTTTTTGAGAACTCCAGTTTTGACTCTTCTCAAGAATCAGCGAGTCCTAATATTAAAATATTAACATATATCAGAAAATCACTTTTAAAGTAAAAAAAAATTAATCACTAAAATTCTCTTTATTTCTTAAACATTATTTTATGCACTTCCAAATTTATGCCTTTTCCATTCTTTTACTAACTTCAAAGTACATTTTTATTAAGAAATACATATTTGACCTCTTTGTCAAAGAACGCTGTAAGCACCCTCTTATTTAATTTTTCACTTCTCTGCAAGTTCCGTACTGTCTATCCTCCAGGATATGAAAAAGCAGGCATGCAACTAACAACTCTTCATCTGCTTTGCCATTGTGCTTTTCCCCTTAAACTAGGAGAAGGGAAAAATGAATCCACAAGTAATCAAAGTAATCATTGATCCTATACACGTGTTTTAAAACTATAGGACATGGTTCTTACACTTTAGAAACTTAACAATCCTACCTAGAGGAGACAAGACACACATACAAAATAGGAAGAAATCAATTCAAAATAACGTATAAGCAAGTGTGTATGTGATGGCAGGCTTAAGTACTCTACCCTCCTTTAAATTCTGGGGAATTCAGAAATTACAGGGTTATCAAACTACTGTAAGATCCATGAGAGCCTGCCTAAGTATATGAATATACACAGACACAGAAAATAATCTGAAAAAGGATCCAGATTGACTAGCTGTTAGAAGGGTCAGGGTGCTCTATTAATTAGGTTTCTATCAAGAAATATGTAGTGTAAACTGGTAATATAGACATTAGCTAGTGATACTATAAAAAGAGAGGATGGGCACAGTGGCTCACACTGGTAATCCCAAATACTGTGGGAGGCTGAGGCAGGAGGATCACATGAGGCCAGGAATTTGAGACCAACCTCGGCAACACAGTGAGATCCTGTCTCTACAAAATGTTTCAAAATTAGCTGGGCATGGTGATGCATGCCTTTAGTCCCAAATCCTCAGGAGGCTGAGGTGGGAGGATCACCTGAGCCTAGGAATTCAATGATGCAGCGAGCTATTATCGTGCCACTGCACTCCAGCCTGAGGCACACAGCAAGACCCTGTCTCAAAAAGAAACAAACAAACAAAAAGATATATTAATAAACAAACATTTAAAGATAAAATTTCAGAAGAAGAGGGTCTGCTTGTTTTAATTTAAAGCTGCATTATGGATTTTAACTTTAAATAAGTTAACCAGAAAATGATCCTTACATATTTAATAGATTATGTTTAACATTACATATAATAAAAGATGGCACTTAGGTCCATACATTTTTATTTATGAACCTAACAATATTCAGAAATAAATTTAGTAAATTAGTTTCATACCATACACTCATTAAATATATTTTGTTTCACAATATATTTCATATATTTTATTATTTTTGTATTCTTTTAAACTCAATCAATATCCAAAAATAACATTTGGAGACATCATTTCAATAGCAATTTGCGACACTTGAACACACTTGAAGGTCACAATTAATAATTCCTTCAATATATTTTGTGTACAACATCTAAAATTGCAGTGGATTTGTGAAGCAAATCAGAAAAGAATGCAAAAGTCAACTAGAATATAGTATCATTTCTCTTAAGAATTCTAGTATTTTCGAAGTTCTGTATTTTGCGTCTCTTTGTTATAAAACCAAACAACATAGCTTTGGGGCTAACAAATGGCTGGCAAATAAAACTGAAAACATCCTAAAGAAAAGTAATCTGGTTTTACAGTACCAGAGTAAGCAAACAAAAATCTGTCCAGATTTTCATACTACTAGCCATGTTTCAAAGTTTACTTAAAATCAAACATTCTTAAGTTTCTTTCTCACCTCTTGCTTATTTGCTACTAAACCTCGAAGCTGTAACTTCTTTATCTGCAAAATGGCAATAAAAATAGTATCTATCTAATGAGTTTATAAGAATTAACAATATATGGCAAGAATGTTCCTGGCACAAACAAGACACTCAATAAACGTTCATTCCCTTTCCTTTCCTCTGTACCTCTTATTAAGGTGGTTCAAAAAAAGGAACATGAACTGATAATTCCTTGGATCCCCAAAAGAAAAGTTGTGAGCCTCAATGAGCACTGCTACTTTAAATATCACCCCCATGCTAAGTCCAAAAGAGACTTTCCTTAGAATATCACGTCTAGGTTAAAAAAAAAAAAAAAAAAAAATTACAGACCAGAAAATGACCTAGCAAACAATCTGAGTTTGAAAATTAGGATGCTACATGTCTTTGTGGTCTGTGCAATAATCTCTCCAGTGGAATTATAACTAATCAGCCCTGGAAAAAATGTTTACCCATATGGGAAACAAGTAAATTTCTAAGGGTCAGAAAAAGTTGTATCAAGATGCAAATTCCTCTATTCTCCTATTTTTCCATTTGGGTCAGAAATACCAGAAACGACTAATTATATCTCTATGGCAACTGCTCTCCACATCTATTATCATTTAGAGGTAGAGAAAACAATATTAACTAATGTTTCTGGCCCTCTGATCCTCATGACTTGAGACTCTTAATAGAAATGTAAGGCAAAGAGGGAAATAGGGGAAATTAGTTACAATATTTCCCTATCCAAACTGCTGGCAGACAATGTTTCAATGGGAAAATCTAATGCACCCTCCTTAAAAAAAATGATCTCACTTTTCTTTAACAGATCAAATATAGGTTTAAGCACACTTATGATCATATCAATACAAAACTGATTTATTATTAACTGTTGTTAGTATATTTCTGAAGACATATATAATCTTTCAAGGTTTTAGAGAAAGTAGTTAAGCTGAAGTTTTTAACATAAAATTTCTAAAATACGGTTTTATGTAAAAATAGAAATCAGAAAAATAGGTTTTGAATGGTTAAAAAAAAAAAAGTACCATCTAGAAAATAACTTTAATGGGATAATTTAATGTAATCAATGAAATTGTAAGAATAAATGATACTATATGAATAAACCAATCATTACTTCAATTATTTCATTCTTTCCATCAGGATTTAAAACTTACCCTAAAAATGATAATACTGATCGATGTTCTCCACAGGCTTTAAAATATGCTTACTGATCATTTATATATATATATTCCATGTATGATTATAAATGGTATATACGATAGGCTAAATTTTATCTAAACCCCGTGTTTAATACAAGAAAATTTCAGCATGCTTCCTGTAAAATCAAAAGAATCGCCGGGCGCGGTGGCTCACGCCTGTAATCCCAGCACTTTGGGAGGCCGAGGCAGGTGGATCACGAGGTCAAGAGATCGAGACCATCCTGGTCAACATGGTGAAACCCTGTCTCTACTAAAAATACAAAAAATTAGCTGGGCATGGTGGTGCGTGCTTGTAATCCCAGCTACTCAGGAGGCTGAGGCAGGAGAATTGCCTGAACCCAGGAGGCAGATGTTGCGGTGAGCCGAGATCGCGCCATTGCACTCCAGCCTGGGTAACAAGAGCGAAACTCCGTCTCAAAAAAAAAAAAATCAAAAGAATCCTACTGCCCTAAAGAAAAAATTATACCAAAAAGCTTGACCAATTATGCTTCCTCTAAGTTTTGAGAAAAGGTTATTTCTTGTGAATCTCAATATTTACACAATGTTACAGAACTGACTTTTTTTTAGGACTCAGAGCATTTTTTTTCATTTTGCAATGTATAAAAAGGCAACTGATTAAGAAGTCCAAAGTCCCAAATTGATGTGGATATTTATAAATTTTGGTAAAATTTGTGCATTTTAATTCACAAAAATCAGGTGAATTTCTTAATGGTAATGACATCTAGTACTCTTAATGGAATCTTTAATGGAAAAAAAATTCTACTCAGCAAAGAACATAAAGCGACATTTATAAGACAGTAATCCAAAATCCAAACTGTCTCTAATATTAAATATTTTCTGTGAGAAAAAAGCTCTTTTACAAATCAAAATGCCACTTCTATTGACATAATTTTCCGTCATGTATTAATTCTCATCCAAAAGTTTAGTTTCAAAATCTTGAAAATGGGAACCATTTCTGAAAATACTACACTGCCTTCCCCAAAAAACATACCTCAGAAAACTAAAGGGCAAGATAATGTTAAGCAATCTCAAAGCTGCAAGATTAATGGCTGAAAATGACATATAACCATATTTCAAGGGGATTCTTCAGACTGTACTAAATTCAAAAAATACCATAAGGCCATTGACAAAAACAGGAGGCCATTTGCAGAAAATGAAGTTTATCTAATGCCCAGTTCTAGAGCAGCAGTTCTGAAGATGTGGTCCAGTGAACTCTCTTTCAGCAGGTATACAAGGTAAAGGCTACTTTCATAATGATACTAAGACATCGTCTTTTTCACTCTTTGTCTTATGGGAGTAACGTGAAATTTTCCAGACACTACATGAAATGGGATTTGACAACCTGTGTGCTTCCTCAGTTTTAATTTAAAATGGTAAATATCAACAGATAATATCTACATAAATGTTAATGGTTGCCCTCAATAGTTTTTAAAACTGTAAAGGGGCTATGTGTGGTGGCTCATACCTGTAATCCCAACATTTTGGAAGGCTGAAGCAGGATGGCCTGTGGTCAAGAATTTGACACCAGCCTTGGCAACACAGTGAGACCCTGTCTCTACATAAATAAATAAATAAATAAATAAATAAATAAATGCATTAGCCAGATGTGATCGTACACCTGTAGTCCCAGCTACTTCAAAGGCTGAGGTGAGAGAATTGCTTGAGCCTGGGAGGTCAAAGTTGCAGTTAGCCATGATCACGCCACTGCACAACAGTCTGGGCAAAAAAGCAAGACTCTGTTTCAAAAAAGAAATTTTTTTTTTAATTTTAAAATGAGGTCAGGTGTGGTAGCTCTTTCCTGTAATCCCAGCACTTTGGGAGGCCAAGGCAGGTGAATCGCTTGAGGTCAGGAGTTGGAGAACAGCCTGGCCAACATGGTGAAACCCCATCTCTACTAAAAATTCAAAAATTAGCTGAGCATTCTGGAATGCACCTGTAGTCCCAGCTACTCGGGAGACTGAGGCAGGAGAACTACTTGAACCCAGGTGGTGGAGGTTGCAGTGAGCCGGGATCATACTACTGTACTCCAGCCTGAGCAACGGAGTGAGACAGTCTCAAAAAAAAAAAAAAACAACAACAACAATTTGAGGATCACTGAATCACTGCTCTAGAGTATTTCAGGGTCTGCAGCATAGGTATGCTAAAGCCATTAAGAGCAATAATTATAAGACGGCCCTGCTAAAATAAGTATCTTCAAAGTAAACTTCAAAATTATGAAAGTTTCAGGTCATTTTGCTACAAATGAACTTAACATAGCAGCCAAGAAAAATGAAACTAAATATGGTGTAATTATATATATATATATAATGTGTAATATATAATTATTTCTATTAGGTACTTCTAAAACTACATTTTCAGCTAACTCTACAAACAAAGTAGTTTCTGAAAACAAAGTAAAAGAAGGGAAAAATCCAACTTCAAATATATACTTAACTATGTACAGATACAGAAATTATAACTAGCTAAAATAACCAGGAAGATTAAGACCCAAACACTGGCCACAGGCAACAAGGACTAGCTTTAATCATCTTTTTACAAAATCAAGATCATACAAATAAGAAATCTAAATATATAACTAATAATCACAGTTTAATTGAAATGTAATTATCTAATTTGAGGAACATAATTTAAATAACTAAAATCATCAAAAAATTACTGTAGAGCTTAAATAATAGAGTTGTGGGGAAAATGACTCAAGCTTTTACATAGAAAGTTAAGAGAAAAATTAACTTTTTATGATCTCTTCTACATGTGCACTTTTAAGTGCTTTGGAATCTCATTTCTGGAATGTGTTTGTGTTTGGCACTACTAACCTAAACATAAAAGGTCCCATTATTGTCAGGCGTGGTAGTGCACACCTGTAATCCCAGCACTTTGGGACGCTGAGGCGGGTAGATCACGAGGTCAGGAGTTCAAGACCAGCCTGGCCAACATGGTGAAATCCCACCTCTACTAAAAATACAATATTTAGCTGAGCATGGTGGCACGTGCCTGTAATCCCAGCTACTGGGGAGGCTGAGGCAAGAGAATTGCTTGAACCAGTGCTTGGGAGGCAAAAGTTGCCGTCAGCCAAGATCAGAAACCACTGCACTCCCAGCCTGGGCTACAGAGCAAGACTTAATCTTAAAAAAAAAAAAAAAAAAAAGGTCCCATTATTTACTCAAGTGTCTTCTAATGAGAAAAAAAACTGAACAACATGTAGACTTTCAATACATCATAAACATTAGTCTACAACCTCTTAAGCAGTACTAATGAAGTACAGGTTTAATAAACAAATACTGTACGCATTTTACATGGCAAATTTCTAAACATATGCAGATGTCCCCCACACTTTGGCATAAATCTAATCCACACTTCCTCCATCACTACCTAGACTACTTCTAAGAGTATCAACCTAATAAAAATGAAGAAGTGAAGTTGTCAAAAGTAAACTTATTCATTAGATATAGAGTATTAAGTGCTATAAAATAAACTGAATGCATGCCTAAATTAAATCCAAACAATTAGATTTTTCCATGCCTGTTTCTTTAAGACAGCATTGACAATATGGGAACTGCCTGTGCTATATCATTAAAAATATTATACTATTTCCCAAATGACAACTTTCCTTTAAAGATAAGAATTAGAATGGCACTGAAGGCAGGCAACATTTTTCATATAAAATATTGGTTTCAGAAGTTAAGCAATGCTTATAATCCAAATATAAACTGCTGTCTCATCTCCAATGATAACCTCACAGCCTGCTATAGATTATTTTGGTAAGAAAATTGCCATATTTTTAAGCAAAACAATTCAAATAGATAATCACTGCTATATAAAATTTGTAGGCAGAAAAATGTGAAAGAACAAATAAAGCATAAGAGAAAAAAATTTATATCAGTTTAACTTACTTCAATGATACAGAAAAAAAAACAAGTGGTAAAGAAAGAAATTTTGGTGACTATAAACACATTAACAGAAATGACAGAACTAATAATTACAGTTCTACATGTGATGTAACAGATACATCTACATGTAAGACAACAACTCAATCTTTCTTTTGAAGAAAAACATATACAAAAACACATAGACAAAGAGACACAAATGTGTTTGACTGAAGAGTCTTGAAAGATGCATCTCTGAGATCAATGGATATACCTAACTTTCAGTAGCAGAACTTCAAGTAGAAACACTGAGTCATTACTGTAGTTTTGTTACAAAAATGTCTGTTTTATGATGGAAATGTTTGGGTTTTTTTTTTTTTTTTTTCCATTTCTTTGTAGAGAGAACTTAATTACTAAACATATGTAAAAATAGTTCATACTTATGTGTATGTCCCATACACATAAAGCAAAGATTTAGTGAGTAAAGATGATGAGTGCTACAACTGGTAAAGGAATTAATCTTTAAAATGAATCTCTACAAGTTTGAGAAAATCATCAGGCTGTTTGTTGCCCTGCTCTAAGGTATTCTAAAGGCCTACATTTTAATGTGGATATGGACCTAACCAAGTTGAAAGAAAGGTGACCTTTGTTTTCATAATCCACTCAGCACCATTCAGCAGTCCTGTGAACAAAGGAGTAAAGGGATAAAAAGGAGAATGGAAAACTTTGTCATTTCCCAAGTCTAAGGATATAAAAATATTTCTCTAAATATTTCTCCTTGAGGACAAAGATTGTGAACTCCTTGAGAACGGTGACAAATAGTAGATGTTTAATAAAAGTCTGTTGACCAAATGAAAAAATGTTACAGTTAGGGTGCTCATTCACTCCCACAGCCGTCTATAAATAGGAGTTCAAGGCAGCCACTTAATACAATGTGTAGAGTGATTTAGAGAAGAATTCCCTTTTCCCCAGACAGACAGATATAAAAATTGGGTTGATCTACCTCATTACTCTTGCTTTGAGATAAGGTCAGGCTATCATTGGTCAGTTCCTCATCATCAGCACTGTTTCTGCTAAGAACTTTACTCTTCTTCTTCTTGCAACCCCCTTCACTGGCAGGGCTACTATGATCTTCATCATTGCCTTCATCATTCTCATCTTCATCACTCCCACTTCCCTCATCTTCATCATCCTCATTGTCTCCATCACTTCCCTCTTTCTGAGATGCAGATCTCCCTTTTCTCTTCACTACAGTAGGTCGCCAATCATTGTCATCCTCACTGTCATAGTCATCCATGTCATTCAGTTCTTCCATGGACACAAAATCCAGAAGCGGTCGGTTTCGTCGAAGGTTCCATTTTTTTGGCTCGCTGACTTGTTCCTCTGTAGCAGCTGTTGTAGTAGGAACAGAAGGGGATGTGTTAACAGCAGGAGGACTTGTGGCTAGTGTGGTGGCAGCAGCAGAAGCAGCCACATTCTCAGATACTGTTGCTTTTTCTTTTTCCTTCTCTCTTTCCTTCTCTTTCTCCTTCTCTTTCTCCTTTTCCTTTTCTTTTTCCTTCTCTTTCTCCTTTTTCTTTCTAGGTCTTTCTCCATTTTCTTCTTCTTCCTTCTTTTCCATTTTAATTAATTGTTTTTCTGATGATAGTACTTCTTCCTCTGCAGAATTTTTAAGTTGTTCTTCTTTTACTTTAATATCTTCATTCAGTTCTTCTTCTAAAATATTTTCTTCAGAATCACTACAGGAACCTTCTCCACTGTCCTTTGAAGCATCTTCACTTCCATTACCACTCCCTTCAGAATCTGTTGAAAATATGAGAAAAAAAAAACCACACATATGTATATACATACACACACACACACACAACGCTGACACAAATGAAACCACCAAAATTTGTGAATAACTTGTAAAACAATATAAACAAATTTAAGTCAAAGAATGGTAGACATTCCCAACCTGATCAAATAATAAATCAATGAAGTTGATACAATGGTTTTAGTTCAGTATAGCATTAATGAAGATGAATATATATAACCCTAAATTAAAATATACTTTAAAAAGAGAAGCACTATTTTGTGTCATATGGCAATGTTTGGTACTGAAGAGGCAATTATTTTTTAATGTAAACGTGCTTCTTTTAAGATTGGGCACTTGATTTTAACTTTACTGATATAATACAGACAAAATTCTTCCTCCCTTAAACATCTTTTATAAACTATATGGACTTATAAGTATTAAATCGCAACCAAAACAAGATAAATCTCACCCATAAAACTGCTTCATTTATTTTATTTTACCCAGCAAAATGAGCATAGCTATTTATGAGAGTCAACTTATACCAGATCCTTTATATAACAAACAGATTTTAGGAATACCAAGAACACAGGTCAAAAGAGAAAATAGACAATAGCAAGGGCACAGAAAAGGGAAGTTGCAAGAGAAATTTTCAATTTTCCTGTTTATTAGAATACTCTTCCTATCAATAAGGGTCACTACACTTTCAAAAATTCTAGACAGTAACTACTATAGGCTCTAGAATGGAAGAAATTGATGAATAAAGCAATCCATCCTGAAAATGAGCAGTCACAGAGGTTACTGAAAAGTTAGGCTGAGGACATTAAAGAGCTCACACAGGACTATAAGTTTTCTAGCAAGTTTCTTCCATTTCTATCTAAGGCAGCCCAGTCCCTCTCAACCTAACACTACTCCATAACCTTCTAATCATTCTCTTTGTACCCAATCAAATAAGTAACAATCTTAAATATTTGAAGAGAGGAATAAATGGGAGGAGGGAAAGAGGACAGGGAGCAGGAGGAGGTGGAGAAGAAATGAGTCAAGTCTTAGCCAATGCCAATAGTTAAATCCACATGATGATGAATTTTTTTGTACTTATAGCCAAGAAAAAGGTAATGATAAAATGGTGGAAAAAGTAAAGTGTTTCCACATAACTTTAATTTCTATTAACTCAACTAGGCTTAACCTCTGTAATTAACTGAGCACTAAAAGTAAGGGACACTGTCTCTAACTAGTATTTGGTATCTAGTGAACCTCACAAGTCATATACGAATGACTGATAACAAAAATATTCTGCAAGTAAAATTACATAAAAAATAAACACTAACATTTAACAGATGCTGACTGACTCTAAGAAATCATTACCAATCTCACAACTGTCATGTAGGTATCCATAGCTTATTTGGGACCGTTCTGAAAAAAACACTCATCCTCAACAACCTTGCACAGGACACAAGAGCAGTATCACACAGGTCAGCAATTCCCTATCTGAAGATTTAAGAGCCAGATGTGTTCCAGAATTCATAATTTCTCATATTTTCAAAGGGTAAAATGCACATGCACCACATGTTATACTAATACCCTGAGTGTCTATGGTATTATCCTACAATCAAACACATTATTTCTGCAAAGAAAAATACAAATATTTACAGAGTGTGAGAAATAAATAATACAAATAAACTCCTAACAGTTTCTGTTAGGTTTTGCCATCAAGTAACTTTGTGTCAACCTTACAAAACACTTAGATTTTTGAGCTTCTTGAATTTCGAGAGTGCAGACCCAATATTACTCACAAACTGACTTCTTTCCAGTCTCCAGAGCATTAAGAAAATTATGATTTTGTAAACCACTCAAGCAATTTAACCCATCCTACGAAGAAAAATCACATCTGGTAAAAATAACAATAATAATAACCTTTAGACATTTTAAAATTATGATTTAATAAATAATAACCAGAGTTGACTAAACACTTCTAAGACACAGAAGGATCTCTTACGCACACTGACTGAAGAAAACTGAAACACCTTAGCTTCTAGAATGGAAGCAATGCCTTAATTAAGAGAGCTAGAAAATCAAGATGAAAGAAAAGGTATTTTTATTCTGGATCAACCTTCTAGAAGGCTTTTTACCAATCAAAACTTGATGATAGACACAAGATTAACTGGGGTAGAAGTATAGGTAGCTGATCAAAATTCAGACCAATCCAGCGTTGCTATTACTTGATAAATTTTACAAAATGTCAGAGATTTTTGTGATTTTGTTTTGATTGTTGCCAATGCCAATTAATTAATTATCTTTTCAAATGAGAGGTAAATTGAGGCTCCTTGATTTGTTTTTGATTTATAATCATGCTGAATAAAAAGCAATTAAAAAAAAATATTTCAGCATTTCATGTTTGTTAACTATTATTAGAAAAATGGACATTTTTCTGCAAACCAAGTCCTAATAGCTTACCTAACCCCTCATTCTCCAACACAGTATATTACTCAGACTCCAACTACAGGGATCAGCAATATATCAAATTTTATCTTTCTCTGATCTCTGAAAAATAACTTCTTCATCTGATTAGTCATTATTTCTTTTTTGTACATATGCACTGGAGGGATGAAGATAAAAACCACATTTAGTTATTATAAACATAGCTGGGTAATAACGAAAATGAGAAAAATCAAGGTTCTTGGCTATTTTTTTCACAAGCGACATACAAAAAAATTCCTATTACTATAAAGTCAAAGAATAACTCTGTGCCATGTTCCAAAATAATAATAATAAAGAAACAAACAAACAAAAAAGAAATAATAGACTGGAGAAAAGAGCCAGATACTTCAAATAAAGCTATCTTAGGCAGAAAGACAGAGTTAATTTCAAGTCTACAATAAACCTTTCTTACATTTGAAAAAGATCTTTAAAATTGAAATCCTACTTCCCATTTGTTTAAATAAAAGAAAACCTTTTATAAACATACAATATTTCAGAATCTCTCCAAGCAATAGCTATTTTAACTAACAGTTAAGAAATTTTTCACAGTTACAGAATTTTTAAAAACTCCTTTGAGTGGTAATGGCCGAAAATAAAATACACTTTAAAATCAGAATTTAAAAAACCAATCTTCAAGAATCCCTTTACAATAAATAAAATAAAATTAACTTAATTAATATAAACCATCAATACCATTATATCCAATATTCTCCCCATGATAACAAACTCAATATAATTTAATTAAGTTTCATGTTAATATACAACATATGCAATATAAATCTGTTCATCAATTTCATCAGTCTAATTTTGTTCATTGATCTGGCACAACAGTATTAGTACTACAAATATACACAATAGACAACAGATCGATCACTATTCCACTGTTTATTAAGAGCTATCTTGAGGCTATGTTTGACCAAAACTGTGTACGTCTTGAAGACAGCCAATCTGTCAACACAACTCATCCTCTACTTCTGAATCTAGTTCCAGCTATGTCATCTTAGGTTTTCATGGGTAAATCTAAGCCAGTGCTTCTCAAATGGGGACATTTTTCCCCTAGAGGACATCTGGCAATGTCTGGAAACAACAGTTGCCAAAAGAGTGGGAGTGGGGGTAGAGGTGAGGCTGAGGCAGGTAGGAAAGATGCTACTGGCCTACAGGACAAGCCTCCACAACAACAAATTATCCAACACAAACTGCCAACAGTGCCACAGTTGAGAAATCCTCAACTGGTACACAAGGCCTCAATTTGACCTTATTCTACTTTTCCAGGCTTATCTCTTCTACTTTAACTCAACCCTGATCCCCAAATATAAAAAACATTTCCAAATCTCAATACTTTTAATTTTTCCTTTACCAAGATTGCTGTTCATCTAAATCAGCAATCAGTTCATAGTTCCTCTTATCTCAATGAAATTGTTCTACATCAATCTAAACTAATCCCATTTCCTATGAAAGACCTGAACTACACAAGTGATCAATCATCCTCTGTATCAATTATTTTATTTAATTATTCTAATTTTATTTTACTGACATGTTATTTTACTTATTTATTCTAGTATTATTACTATTGTTTTGTAAATTAACCATAACATCTAGCAAAGGGCTAAACTACAGACAGTCAATGAACACGTCTTGGTCCATTTATGCAAAGTCGGATTAAGCACAAAATACCACCAAAGTCTCAGGCAGACTCTTCTCATTAAATTATTTCCTGGCAATATGACCTAACTAAACCATTGATTAAGATCTAAAATCAACCCCATTTTATTTCTGGCTAGTGGGGGATAGGGGTAGAGGGCATGGCTAATCATCTGCTTAGTAAAAGTAATACATGTCTGCATCTTTAAAAAGACGTAAACATTCTTTAAAACACTCAATTAATGTAGCAGATAACTATAAATGTAAATAAGTCTCCTATCCTACCCCCAGTCCTATGCCCAAGTCTCAAATGTAAACACTCTAACTAGGTCAAACCACAAAATTGCCAATATTTGACTGTTTGGACCTACAAAACTGGTAATTGCATATGGTTCAACCTAACATTTCTACATATGGTTCTTCTGATGGTTATCACCATAATTCTAATACATATATACCCTATTTTAGGACTTATTCATTTCAAACTTTATTTATTGATTGCTTTCAATCAGAACTGAGAAACTTACTTTTGCATTAAAAATAAAATATAAACTATTTTTGTTTATATTTTATTTCATAATTTTCTAAAGGTAGAGGATCATAATTATTAACTTTGTCAATAATCATATGCCAATCTTATTGGTGGGTCATTCTTTAGCAATGTTGATTTGTTTCCGTTTTACAATAGAGTTAAATTATGTTTATCTTTAAATGTTTTCTGTATTTATTGTTAAAACCAAACAAATACAGAAAGTTTTATAGTCAGAATTTCAGATTTCAAAATGAAGGTAAGATGAAATTAATCCACAGAATCCAGTTAGCCAAAATTAAGGCCAACCAATCTAACCACTTTAATATTAAGTTCTAAGGAAGTCTGTAGTTCATTCAGTAAGTCATTTCTAGAAGTTGTTTTGAAAGAAGATGTGATCAGACAAATGTTTAGTTACCATGTCTCTACTTCCATTTTAATCTCCTATTCATAAGTAGGGCTGGGAATGCACAACTTCAACATGTTTGAAAACCAATGACAGGACTAATGTCTTATCTTCTGTAAGACTCCAACTACATATATACTATCTCAGGCACAGAAAAGATTCAAATGGAAAACAATGGTAATCTAGAGTAAGCCAATATCTCAGCTATGAGGAGATCAATGCACCTAAAACAAGAGTCAAAAATATGATTCAATTTCTGTTGACTACTAATCACTTTAAATAAAATTTTCTTCTAAATTCCCTTTTACAATAAATACCAAGAACTATACATATAAATTTGTGACCTGAGACCACAGGTCGCAAATTGAAGCTCCCCAGGGGCCAGGAAGGTAAATTTTAAGTGCAGCATACTAGACGTTATAAGAGGGAAGAGGAAGTAAATAATTTTAAGATATTTAGGGGATACAGATATATATTAACCTAACAAAACTCATCCTATCATTTTTCACAAATAACAGTTCTCTTCAACTATAATTAGGATTCAACAAGGTCCGTATTTAGCTCGATATCATAAAATATTTTGAGAAAATATGTTTATATCAGATTGTTTTACCACTTGAAAAAGAAGTGATATGTGTGAATACTCCATCTCAAAAAACAAATTGTCCATAAAGTCAATATTGTCACATAAATATGTAACACTTAATATAAGTTTTAGAATTGTTCCCACAATGATATTCAAAGAATTCACAACTTCCGAGATCCAACATGTTCGTCAAAGTTTACAACCAAAACCATAACAAACCAAAACTACACCCTAGCCAAGAATATTCTTATCCGCCAAGGTCTTTACCAAGAGAACTAAGATTTAAATTTTACCTCCTCTCCTTTCCCCTTCCCTTCTTTGGAAATACCAAACATCAGCAAATCAACTAAATGGGAGATAAAGAGCTGAGAAGCAAAGGTTAAAAAAAAAAAAAAAAAAAAAGGTTAATCAAGATAAACTTATCAATTTTAGATTGCTAGGGATGAATTCAATTAGTAACGTAATATCCAAAGTTTCTGTTTAAGATTTAATCAGTCAGCTCTTAGGATCTAAGCTGATAAACAGACTAAATTCTGAAGACAAATCCATTGGATCTGACTTAGTGACCTCAAGCCAGTTCTGTAAACTCAATACCCCTGTTACCTTTAAAATAGTATTTCCTTCACTTAGTTACTGTGAAAATTAAATGAGACTATGCAAACAAAAAGTTATCAGTAAATCACAATGCAAATTCTGTTGCTAATGCTACTAAAAGTGGTAACAGTAATACAACACAATTTAATTCATCCCTTCCTACCATCCCTAGCAGGAAAAGGAGAAGGGAAAACCAGAGGAAGGAGAGATGTGACTAAGTACAGCAGACTCTCTGGAAAGATATTTAAAAACTAATGAAGAGATGAAATTGGAAAGGCTTTTATCACTTTATTTAAATTTTCATGTCACTTTAAATTTTTGAAATAAGTGGAATTACAAATAATTTTTATTAATATCAGTATTTTTCCCCATAAAATACTTAAATAAAAATTCTTATGTTTCTCAGATTCCTTCAACTGAAACTGTATATATTACACGCATCAGGTGCATCAAACAGAAGATACAAAGGAAAACCATATTTTTCTGTTTTCCAATTTAGTACAATGTGATTATAAGACCTTTAAAAAAAGTTTTTAAAATTACTAAATATAGAGAGCAAGGATGCATGACATAAACTTCAGAGATTTCTGAAAAGCCCAATCCACAAGGTCCATCGCCTACTATAAAGTGCAACTCTTACTCTGGTCAATTTTATTCTAGTAAAAGCGCTAATAAACAAAAAAGCAAAATTCCCCTCAGAGAATGCCAAGTGAACTGAAAACAGAAGAACCCTGCTCAAGAACTATTCATGGTCCACACACCTCTCAGGATACTTTTCTACTTCAGGATATCTTTCAGTTTTTTCCTCTGTAACATAAACATATTTTAATGTGTAAAATAGAGAAAATCCTTTTACATCTTTGGAAAAAGTTCTTCCCCTGACTGCTAATTATCTCTGAGGAAAACAGAAGCAATGATAGGTCTAGTGACAGGATCTAAAGGCAAATGGGAAATCAAATGGTCAAAATAAATGAAGTTCATGTGCTTTCACTTAAAATTGGCATTTTAATCAAAACCGATTAAAAAAAGAAATGTCTAAAAACAAACCCAACTCCACAAAGCTGGGAAAGGGGAAGACAGAAGGAAATATTTACCTGAGGCATCTCCAACTTTAAAATCACTGTCATCTGAACTATCATAATCGAGAGCTTCCAGCAGAGAAGCTGCCAAAGGCTTCACCTGCCTCCTCTTGGAGCTGCGATCCACTGTTAAGAGAAAAAAAATTACATTGTCATTCATAATCACACCAAACACAGGGGAGAGCTGTGGTGCTAAGAGAACATAAAGATGACCTCACGCAAGGAATTTTTGCCTAATTATCAGCAAAAGGGGTCAGAAGTGGGGTGCAGAAGTGGGCTGGGGAGGGCTGGACAGCTCCATGGGCAGTTTCAGAGGCAGTTCCAGCCCTGATGATGCCAACGCCAAAAGAGACCAGCTAAAATCGAAGCCGACCCCCTTGGGCATCTTTTCCAGATGTTTCTGCACCCTCCTCTTAATCCTCCACTTACACATTGTAACAATCAATAAAAAAACGCAAAATCCAGGGAATAAAAGAAGAGGGTTCATTCCCGCGGACAGTGTAGAGGGAGCGTCCACCAAGCGTCCACCTTTCCCGCAGGGCTCTCCCACCCCTGCCCTGCTCCCCGCGGCCCTAACTTCTAGAATGGCTGAAATGGATCCCTCTCGCCGCAGAGGCCTCGGACACACTTACTAAGGAATCCGTGAGGTGGTCGTTTGGAGACTTAGGGAGAGGCTGCTGGAGCCCAGGCAGCGCCGAGGTCGGGGACTGGGGCCGCGGAGACAGGTCCGAAAGATGCTATTTAAAACCGGCGCGCCGCCAGCGGGACAAGGGTGCTCCCAAGAGTAGCCCCGCCGTCCCCTAAGCCCCCCGCCCACCCCCAGGCCACGCCAGGCCCTGGTCGCTCGAGCCCCTTCCTAAGGCGCTTCCCGGCCGGAGAAGCTCTCCGGCCCAGGCAGCGCGGCCAATCCCCGGCGGCTCTGGAGAGTTAATTTCTCCCGTTAAAACTAGAAGAAAAAAATTAAAGAAAGAAAAACTTTATTAGCCTGCACCAAGAGCAACAAAAGACCCAGAAATTGCACAGCGCGAGGCCGCCTGCCCCAAACAATAGAGAAAGCAGCGACCCGGATACGGCTCTGAGGAGAAGGAAGTGAAAACAAGAAGCTAAATGCAGCCCTGAGCAGTAGGAGTTGAGCGCGCATGCGCAGGACTCGCTCCCGCGCACCCTTCCGGAGCAGGAGCCGAACAGAGACGAGTGGAAGCTGACTGGGAGCCGAGAGAAGCCGCGTAGTGCCAAGCGGGAGCAGAGATCCCTGCCAAACCTTGTGCAGCTCCGCCCACAAACCCCTAAGGCTCCGCCTTCTCCGCGCCTAATTCTGCTCCTGAATCCAAATCCCTGGGACGCCAGTTTTTGTTCTGATTTGTTTTTTAAGGATTTTCTCGGAGTAAACTTACCACAAAGGGACGTTTGCTACCTTAAGCCACTACCAATAACTAAATGATATTGTCACCGGTATAGAGTCATGATTGAAAGTTGTCGAGGCTCTTGGCGTTTTGAATAAATCGGACAAAACGCCCAGCAAAGTAAAAAAAAGAATGAAACAACAAAAGAACAAAAGCAGGGATTTATTGAAAATGAAGGTATGCTCTGTGTGGGAGCGATATGAGCAGCAGCTCAAGGCCCGAACACAGAATCTGCTTGGGTCCAAATACCCTCTAGAAGCTTCCCATTGGCCACTTCATACTCATCTCGCGTAAATTAAGCGGTAACCCGCAATCAGTCTGATTGTTTGCAGAAAGCAGCCAACCACAGACTGAAGTGAAGTTACGAGGTCACGCTCCTGTGCAAACATTGATGCAAAAAGCATCCAATCAGAGGCTAGGGTGAAGCTACAAAGATATACCTCTATGCAAAGGAAGACTAGCCTGCAATCAGTCTGATTTGTTACAGCAAATTCCTTCCTTTTTCAGGTGGAGGAACTTTTCTTTTTGTTCCTAGTTTGCCTATTGTTTTTATCATGAAAGAGCTTTGAATTTTGTTAAATACTCTGTGTCTTTTGAGATGACTGCGTGATTTTTGTAGTTTATTTTTTCTATATGGTCTATTGTTAACGTTGCTTGATTTTTATTTGTTGAATCAACCTTGCATTTCTGCTATAAATTCTACTTAGTCATGATGTATAAACCTTTTTATAGTTGCTAGATTCAGTTTGCTAGTATTTTGTTGATTTTTGCACTCATATTCATAAAGGAAATTATATTTTATGTCACATAAAGAATGTGTCTTTATTAGTTATGAACTGGCTATAATGACATCTCCAATAATATTCATCTGAACGTCTTTAAGACATGCATGATAAATTACTGTTGGCATTTTTAACTCAGCTTTTTTTTTTTTTTTTTNGTTTCACTCATGTTACCCAGGCTGGAGTGCAATGGCGCGATCTCGGCTCACCGCAACCTCTGCCTCCTGGGTTCAGGCAATTCTCCCGCCTCAGCCTCCTGAGTAGCTGGGATTACAGGCACGAGCCACCATGCCCAGCTGATTTTCTTTTTTGTATATTTAGTAGAGACGGGGTTTTGCCATGTTGATCAGGCTTGTCTTCAACTCCTGACCTCAGGTGATCTGCCCACCTCAGCCTACCTCAGCCTCCCAAAGTGCTGGGATTACAGGTGTCAGCCACCACGCCCTGCCTTAACTCAGAAAATTTTGAGTCTCCTAATGCTCTGCCATCTTCTTACTGGAATATTTGTATTATGTAATCCATCATGTTTCCCTTTTTATTCTAATTATCAGGTATTCAAATTCAAGGTATTTGTGCATGACTACACGAAGAAGAATAATCATATGTTATAATCATAATTACTTCCAAATAACAGCAACCACTAACAGCTTCAATGTAAGATTTTGCCAAATGATACTCACTCTTAATGTCCACAATTCTAACTAAGCAAGCTAAATATGACTGTAAAAGCATCTGCAGGAATTATAAAAAGCAGAAGATTTATATTTAGAAATGGTCTTTCAAACTACTCCAAAAAAAAAAAAGACAGTGAAATAAACAGCTTGTTGTGGACACTTACTATAATGAAAACAAATACATATGTATACAAAAGATAAAAAAACTTAGAGTCTGGAGATCTGAATCTGAGTCTAGGCTTTGCCAATGAATTTGTGTTACCTTAAAAAAGTCAACATTGAGCCTCCAATTCTTCACCCAGAATCTGGAAATAATATTAATAACCCATCTTGAGAAGCAGATAGCATCTGCAGTATCTCCAAAATTACTCTAATAAAAAAAATATTTTAAATCCAAGAAATTAGAGGACGTGCAATGAAAAAATTATAAAAGAGAAAAAGAAAATAACAGTTATAATTAATTCTGAATTATTGTTGATACTGAGATTGTGGAATTTAACACAATTTTATTAAGCAATGATATGCAAACTAGAGGGGTCATAATTATGAATGACTATAACCAAATCCAAGAGGTGGGGGTAAAGAGAAGGAGTGCTTGGGGAAAATAAAATAAGAGAAATGAAGAAAAAGTTGAATTGTCTTATTTTGCTGAGAGAGAAACTGCAGATCCTGATTAATTTTTTAAGAAGCCAAGAAATGGCCAGGCATGGTGGCTCAAGCCTGTAATCCCAGCACTTTGAGAGGCTGAGGCGGGCGGATCACGAGGTCAAGAGATCGAGACCATCCTGGCCAACATGGTGAAACCCCATCTCAACTAAAAAAAAAAAAAAAAAAAAAAAAAAGAAGTCAAGAAAGTAAAATTTAGTTTCCTATAAATCTAAGGATAGTAGTACTAATTTACAACTAATTGAACTAATTTAATTGAACATGTGAATTACCTCACTACCCTCCCCAAAATACGCAGAAATCACAGAAAAAACATACAAATAGAAATGAATCCATAAAACCATAGCATTGCTATAAACCTAAGAGGAATGTCACCAGCAGACTTTTGAGGGCTATAGACGAATTTTGACGGTTCTGAAAGTAGGTCCAAATTGCCAACAAAATTCAACAGACTAAAGAGCTAATAAATTCATCCAGGTGATAAATCATCAAAGAGAAGAATCACTAAAGCGAGTTTTTCCAATAAAGTATCTGCATAACACTTAAGTAAGAGACAATGAGGGTTGTGAGAAGGGCTGACACTTGGACAGTAAGCTGGATAATTCATTAGAAGGAAAAGATCCACATAATAATTCTGTTGTCAGAGGAGCTAAAACAGTGTTTCTCTCTTGAATAAAACTTAGAGTACAGCTCTACTAAGGAGGAAGTCTAACTTTAGAGATTACCAGAATGGGAACTAGGTTTATAGGAAGGAAACTGATAGTAACCCCACTGACTTTCAACTGTCTTAACAGCTGAAATAGGAAGATCCAGCATAGAAAATACTCATAAATCATAGAGAAGAACCTATTCACATGTACCCTCACTATACCACCAACTTCCTCATTAATCCTACAAACATACAACCATCAGAACCAGTATACCTATAATGAAAACTTGCATTGATTCTCTGCCAGGTCAACAGGGCTACTTATTTGGACCAAGTATATCAATTCTGGCCACCAACACCACATATTGTATACTATGAACACAAAAATATATACAGAGACCACCAAAAATCATTAAATATTTAAATAGACTAATAACATTGGAGAAACTAAATTTTTTAAAACTTTAAACAATTACTTAATTCAGATGTATTAGGTCTCCCATGGGCATCTTGATATTTAGAAAATGGAAGGGAGGCAGAGGCCATCTTTGTGTAGCTGTAACAGCAGCAAAATAAGCTCTATCATCTATGAGAATAGAATCCATATTCATTAGCTTCATTCAAAGGTATAAGGACCAGGTGGAAGAGCAGTTGTAGCGAGGGTTTGCAGCGACAGTTACACTAATTTTCTGACCTCTAGATCACAGCTAGAGTTATATGATCTTAAAACTGAAAATGTCCTTGAATCCCTGACTTTCACTCCTGTAGTCTTTCAAATGATTTTGTACATACCAAATTTTTTTCAGCATCAAATATATACAGTGTTTTTTATTTGCTGTACTAATTTAGTCTGATACAGTAGTTGGTATATAAAGATGTTCAAAATATAAAGAAAACTTTAACACTGGGAATTTGATATTTATTATTTGACCCAGTTTGGATTTAAAGGCAATAATGTCTTGATTACCAGTGGAAAATAAGATATTGGTAGTCCAAGACATGCAGTGGTAATAGACTTACTTGAATTATCATATGTCATCACCTGAAATAAGGGGCCTGTGAACATAAGACCTATTAGCAATTGTTTGTTATGACAGAACACTAAAATGGAAATAAGAAATAAATGGGCTGGGGTGGGTGGGCTGAGGTGGCAGTTTTGGCAGCCTTTGAAAAATTAGAGAACAATGATGACAAGCACAGGGTTTGAACTTTATTTAATTTTTAAATTTGATATGGCATCTTGCTACATTCACTAGGCTGGGCTTGAACTCCTGAGCTCAAGTGATCCTTCTGCCTCAGCCTCTCAAAGTGCTGGGGTACAGGTATGAGCCACCACATCCAGCTGGCTTTAACTTCTTGACTCAAAACTTGCTCCAACACACAGAGAGCTTCTGTGATTTCTTATCTTTGTCACTATTGAAGGGCCAGACAACTTTTTGACCCTGTGGCAAAAGGGTGAGGAAGGCTGTCCTGTGCACTGTAGGATATCTCAGTACCTCTGGACTCTATCTGCTAGATGCCACTAACAGCTCTCCCTAACCCAAATTGTGACAACCCAAAATGTGTCTGTACATTGCCAAATATCCCTTGAGGAGTAAAATCACCACCAACAATGGCACCACCACTACTCGCCCCTCTAATGAAAATTACTGCTATACATTAATTTAATCTCATGTCATCATAGGGCTGATATCATTAATATTAATAATTTATCTATCATTAATAATCCAAGACATGCAGTGATAATATTCTTACTTGATTAGTAATTGATAAATCTGAATACACAAGTTGCAGATTTTAGGCAGCTTTATAAGAATTTACGATATTTACTGGTATAGATTGGTACCTTAAGAATTGAAAATGAAGCCTCAATCTCAGAGCCTCATTTTTTCAGTAGAATTAAAACCTTCTGTCTTGATGAAGCTACCTGCCTTGTTGAAGACACTGTCATGAATGGACTCACCTGAGTTCATTACTTTGCAAAGGGATGCTAATTCTCCTCATGTCCATCTCTTTGCATCCCCTTACTACATCCCTATAAATGGAATCAGAGCCCAGTACGTTCCAAGAGGCAAGGACAAATTCTGATCTAGAAGGAGATGATGTTATTATTTATATTAGGAAGAGTTACCTTACATTTGGTGGTAGCGGTTTTATTGCTATTGTTGTTGTGGGGAGGTTCATGTGTAGAAGGGTAGATATGGCTGCTGAGTAGACAAAGCATAAAATTAGGCTGGATATTGTCCAATAGCAGGCGACTTTCATTCTCACCTCTTCCTCTGTATTACAGATCCTGTTAGAATAAAAAGTACACTTCTCAGATTCACTTAAAACTAGGAATATAGATATGATTTAGATTCCACCAATAAGATGGGATTTCAAGGTTTTGATGGTGGCAGGAGGCAGACAGGTTCCCAGGTGGGAAAGGGTGGGCCCCCAGGGAGGCCCAACCTTCAAGCCAGGGATGGCCTGAAGCCTAGGGGCCAGGCTGCCAGTTCCAGGTAGAGTCTACAGCTAGGAGTGAGAACATCCTTGATGTCTTTCAGACAATCAGATGGTGCTTTTTCTGGACCCAACCATAGACCTATCAGCATGCACTTTCTACATTCTGAGCCCATAAAAACCCCAGACTCAGCCAGATCTCAGAACTATCTGCCTGAGGATGGGAGTTACCCGTTGTGGGTCTCCTCTTCACTAAGAGCTGTTCTGTCTCTCCATAAAGCTCTTCTCTGCTTTGCTTACCCTCCAGTTGTCCACATAACCTCATTCTTCCTGGATGTGGGACAAGAATTCGGAACTCACCAAATGGCAGTAACACTTTTCCTGGCTGGCTCACCATGCCATGGATGGTGGGAATGAGAGATCTATAATGTTCCCTCCCAACTGCTTGGGCCTCTGGGATTACTGGCATCTCTGAGTTTTGGAGCACCATTGCATTCTCCATGCCCAGATGCTGGTGCCTACAGCAGAAACCACTTGCAGTACGCCTGGTCCAGCTATAGCCTCACAGAGAGATGGTGCCTGTGCCTGCACCTGGAGCTGCCCGCCCCACATGCAGCAGTTGGTATGCCTGGCTGTGCGCAGTGGCCAGACCCTGCACTCACTCACATACCTCTCACCACTCTGTGCCTGGCTCACCCTCGATGGGCATGGGATCTGAGCCAGTAGCACAAGCTGAGTGCAGTCTGCCAGGCCAAATGGGCAGAGTAAGCCCAGCAGGCATAAGCAAAATTAAAGCAAAGTTGCCTTGCTGCTGGCCATAGAGGTTTCCAGCTGGTGAGGTAATACAAATGGAACCTGTGACATTGAGAGAGTAGAAGGGAAGTAATAGCAAGCTTGCTGCAGTTGTAGATGTGGACAAACAAACTCCAATAGGCCTGAGTTCCAATACAGAGTGACCAGTTAACTTTTTTCAGTGTCTAGATATGAGTGTTGTGGCTGTTAGCTGGTTATGGTATTGGCAGCCACAAAAACAGTAACAGTATCAGCTTCTTGACATCTGGATTTCAAATACAGTTGTGAAGCCTTAGAGCCAAAATTCAGGAAGCAGCTTCCTAACTTCTCCAGGCCTTCTATTGAGTTTATATCTAACTCTATCACTAAATTTTTTTCTGCTCAAAAACAGAGTGATTTTTGTTTCTACTACACTGTACTTTGACTGATACACATTAAAAGACTCCTACATTATCCAGAGGAATTCCTTCTTACCTTGCAGAGCTAACCTGGCAATCCAAAAGTATGGCAGCAATCCTGGGCAACATAGCAATAACCTGTGTCTACCAAAAATAAAAATAAAAAATTAATTAGCTGGGCATGTTGATGCACACCTGAAATCTCAGGAGGCTGAGGTGAGAAGATGACTTGAGCCCAGGAGTTTGATGCTGCAGTGAGCTACAATGGTACCACTTCATTCCAGACTGGATGACAAAATGAGACCCTGTCTCTAGAAAATAAAACAAAACTACAGAAGTAAGCAGTTAGCCAAATAGCTGTCACTATGATTACTTAAAGGCATCATAAATCCTTTGTTATGGAGAATGGCTCATTTTATCTTGCTGTAGTTAATATTTTCAGAGATACCCAAGAGAAAACAATATTGATAAAGTAAGAAAACATTATGCTGACATTTCTGAACTTTAAGAAGTTCCTAAATACTCCCACAAAGAAAAGTCAGGATATTTACAAAGAAATAGGAATCAGAATTCTCAACTGCAACTCTGGATGGCTGGCAACTTCTAAAATCATTTCAATATTTTCTAATAAAGAGTTCATTAATAATTCCTTTTCAAATTAAGTTAAAATACTGACTACATAATTTTCTTCAATATTTAGATAACATGGATTGACTTTGGTATTACGTGAGCAAAAAATTTCCACGTATTTAACAAATGGATATTTAAAAATGTTTTAAGTTAATTAATTTTTATAGATAATATGTACCCATGGTATAAAAATTTTAAATGCATAAAAGAGTACCATGAAAACTAAATTTTCATTTGACCTTTGTGCCCTAGGCAGTAAGTCATCTCTCTAGACATAACAAGATTGGCTTTTTTTTTTAAGGTGCTTGGCTCAGGGCTGAGTTTTTATAACAGCTTTATTGAGATATAATTCACATATCATAAAATTTACCCTTTTGTGGTATACAATTCAGTAGTTTTTCGTATATAAAAAAAGTTGTACAGCCATCACCACTATCTAATTCCAGAACACTTTAATCAACCTCAAAAGAAACCCCATATCCATTAGCAGATACTCCTCATTTCCCCTACATGTAGATCTTGGTAACCACTAATCTATTTTCTGTCTTGAGGAATTTGCCTTTTCTAGACATTTCATATAAATGGAATAAAAAATTTGTAGTCTTAAGTGTCTGGTTTCTTTCACTTAGCATAATGTTTCCATGTCTCATCCATGTTGTAATATAACTTGTTTTTAAATGAACACAATGCTGTGAGATGGCATCAGTATTTGTTCTGCATGGAGAAAAAACAAAAGTGGGAAGTGAGTACTTCAATTTTTGTCACAATAGCTGTTTATTAGACAGCTCTTTTAGACAAGCTGGGGTATTTACTCATGTTTCAATGCATATGAATGGCAGGCTTAGGAGCTATTTTTCACAGGGGCAAGTCCCAAGAAAGCAAAACAGATGGGCAAAGACAGCATCAGTAGAGCAACATCATAAAGCGTACAATATTATATGTTAGACAGACAAATAAGGTTAGTTAGGAACAGGAGGTTTCATGCCATCAACTCAAAAGGTGGTGAAGCTTTCAAACAAACAAAAATGCATAGTAATACCTTCTGCTCTTTTAAATCAATCAGATCTCTAAGTGACAACTCATAAGCAAAGTCATTAACATTGTTCTAAACCTACACAACACAGTTTTTTAAAATTTATTGGAAAATATAACAGAGAAAAAAATGAAAAACAAGTAAGTAAATGTACAGATCAAATAATCATCATCAGCTGAGCACAGTGGCTCAAGCCTGTAATCCCAACACTTTGGGAGGCTGAGATGGGTGGATCACCTGAGGTCAGGAGTTTAAGACCAGCCTGACTAACATGATGAAACCCCATCTCTATTAAAAACACAAAAATTACACAGGTGGAAGGGCATGCACCTGTAATCCCAGCTACTCAGGAGGCTGAGGCAGGAGAATTGCTTGAACCTAGGAAGTAAAGGTTGCAGTGAGCCAAGATGGCACCACTACTCCAGCCTGGGTAATAAGAACAAAACTCCAGGAAAGTAATAATAATAATTTTTTAAAAATGATAATCATGAAGCAAATACCCTTATAAACCCTATCCACACCAACACCAAAGAAGCCTGTCAAACCCCATCTTGCCTACCTAAAGGTAGTCATTATCCTGACTCTAAGCATATTTTCAAATTTGCATCCAATAACATGTCCATTTATTTCTGAGACCTTCCCAGAAGCACATTAACATTTATATTTCTACCAACACATTTTTAGATATCTGTTAACAGCAGCATCTCACTTCTGAAACCAAAATCTACATTTGTTTTCTAGGACAAATTGCTATAAAAATTATTATAAACTCGGTGGCTTAAAACAACAGGAATTTATTTTCCCACAGTTTTGGAAGCCAAAAATCTGAAACAAAGGCATGAACAGGACCACACTCCCTCCTAAGGCTCTAGAGGAGAACCCTTCTTTGTAACTTCCAGTTCTTAGTGGCTTCTGGTGCTCCTGGGCTGTGGTAGCAGAACTCCAGTCTCTACCTCTGCCTTCACTTCACTCTATGTGTCTCTGTGTCTGTGTATCCCTTCCTCTTCTTATAAGAATCCCAAGTGATTTGATGTAGGGCCCACGCTAATCGAGCATGAATTTACCAGATTAATTACGTATGCAAAGACCCTATTTCCAAATAAGTTCACATTCCGAAGTTCTAGGAGTTCATGAATTTAGGAGGGACACTATTCAACTTACTACACTTTCCAATGTCTTTGAACAGAAAAACTTGGTCTGAACCATTTGAATAACCTAGTCTGCCAATTCTGAAAGTGAAAGTCTGTGCACAGTTTTCAAATTAAGTAATTATAAATCACAGTATTTTATAGGGCCTCACATTTTGAGGGATCTGGTATTTCTTTGATAAAACTGTAACAACTAATCTGGTTGAAAGTAGAAAAACATATATTGTCTATTCTTGACAAGTTTTGTTATGATCTTTGTAATGTGAATTTGGAAAGTTACTTTTTCAATGTTTTAAAATAGATTTAATAGCATAGAAATTATACCTTGAAGATACAGCATTTTGCTTATAAAACCACTTTGACAAATACTCCTAAGAAACATTGTTATTTGACAGTGTCCTCAATTTCTTCCATTATTAATTTTATTTATTTATTTATTTATTTATTTATT